ACCGTTCCTTGTTTTGGCATTTTAGGGCCATAAAATAAGAATTCATGACGATTCCAAGTTTTTCGTGTGCTATAGCCATGCCATCTACATGAATTTGGGCGACCGACCTCGAATCTCCTTGCAGATCTATAAAAAATGATTTAATGAACAATAATCATTGCTTAGCCATGATTGTTCCTTGTTTTTTGGCGTTTTAGGGACATAAAACATGAGTTCAAGACGATTCCCAAATTTTCGTGGACTATAGTTACGCCATATGCATGAATTCGGACGATCGACTATGAATCTCCTAAATTATGCAGGCCCATAAAAAGGACATAATGAACAATACTCATCGCTTTTCCATGAACGCTCTTCATTTTTTGGCGTTGTAATGCCATAAATTAAGAATTCGGGACGATTCCTAGATTTTCGTGTATTATAGTCCACGCCATCTGCATGAATTCGGATGATCGGCCCCGAATCTCCTAAAATTTTGCATGCTCATAATAAACGATCTAATGAACAATAGTCATCGTTTCGCCATGACCGTTCCTCATTTTTGGCGTTTTAGGGCCATAAAACAAGAATTCAGGATGATTCCCAGATTTTCGTGTACTATAGTCTACGTCATCTGCATGAAGGCGACCTACTACGAATCTCCTAAAATTTTGCAGACCCGTAGAAAATGATCTAATGAACAATAGTATCACTTCGCTTTGACTATTCCTCGTGTTTTACCATTTTAGGGCCATAATATAGGAATTTAGGACGATTCTCAGATTTTCGTGTGCAATAGTCGACACCATCTACATGAATTCAGGCGACCTGCCACGAATCTCCTAAAATTTTATGGGCTCGTAAAAAATGATCTAATGAACAATATTCATCGCTTCACCATGACCATTTCTCGTTTTTTGGCGTTTTAGAGCCATAAAAAAGGAGTTTAATACGATTCTCAAATTTTCGTGTGCCATAATCGACGCCATTTGCATGAATTCGGGCAACCGTCTCTGAATCTCCTAAAATTTTGTGGACCCATAAAAAATGACCTAATGAACAATACTCATCGATTCACCATGACCATTTCTCATTTTTTTTTGGGCATTTAAGGGCCATAAAATAGGAATTCAGGGGGATTCCTATATTTTCTTGTATTTTAGTCCATACCATCTGCATGAATTCGTGCAACTGACCTCGAATCTCTTAAAATTTCGTGGGCCCATAAAAAATGACCTAATGAACAATAGTAATCGCTTTAATATGACCGTTCCTCATTTTTGGCGTTTTATGGCCATAAAATAGGAATTCAAGATGATTTCACGATTTTCGTGTGCTATATCTCACGCCATTTGCATGAATTCAGGTGACCGACCCTGAATCTCCTAAAGTTTTGCAGGCCCATCAAAACGATCTAATGAACAATATTCATGGTTTCGCCATATGATCGTTTCTCTTTTTTTTGTTGTTGCATTTTCGGGGCCATAAACAGGAATTCAGGACAATTCCCAGATCTTCATGTGCTATAGTATACGCTATCTGCAAGAATTCAGGCAACCGACCCGAATCTTCTATAATTTGCGGGCCCATAAAAATGATCTAATGAACAATAGTCATCGCTTTGCCATGATTGTTCCTCGTTTTTTGGCATTTTAGGGGATAAAAAAGGAATTCAAGATGATTCCTAGATTTTCATGTGCTATAGTCCATACCATCTGCATGAATTCGGGCGACCGACTGTGAATCTCCTAAAATTTTGTGGGCCCGTAAAAAAACTACCTAATGAACAACATTTATCATTTCGGCATGATCGTTTCTCATTTTTGTTTTTGCGTTTTAATGTCGTAAAATAGGAATTCAGGACGATTCTCATATTTTCATGTGCTAATGTGCACGCCAGCTGCACGAATTCGAGGGATCAGCCCCGAATCTCCTAAAATTTTGCAGGCCAATAAAAAACGACCTAATGAACAATAGTCAACGCTTCGTCTTAACCGTTCCTTATTTTATGGAGTTTTAAGGTCATACAACAAGAATTCAGAATGATTCCTAGATTTTCGTGTGATTAGTCCACGCCATCTGTCCCTGAGCATTTTTAATCCATCAAATTTGCTAAAGTTAGAACATCCTTAATCAAACTAACAAAATGGGACTAACTTTGATTAAAATTAATAACTTTGCACGCACGTGCATGGGGTGTTCATAAAAATATGAAAAATCAAACCAAATTGAAAACCGATTAAAAAAATTAATACTTTTTCGATTTGGTTTGATTTTGGTTTTAAATTTTAAAAACCGACCAACTTTGGTTTGGTTTTGGTTTTAATCAAAAAATAATCGGAATAAACCAAACCACTGAATATAGAAGTAGCTATTTAAAATGTATTATTATACCTATAAATATGTATATTTTTATAAAAAGTTTCTAAAATTTTATGTTATATTTTAATAGTTTGCAGTTTTAGTCTAGTTCTTTGCTATTATAATAATCTAGTTCTTTGCCTTTACATTCTAGTTTGATTGGTAGTTTTTTTTTTGCTACGTACAAGAATTTATTTCATGTTAAAAATAATCTATTTTTAATTGAGTCCTAAGATTACTCATCACTATTTGGTTCAATTATCATTAATATATCTTGGTAATTGATAAATTTCTCAAAGAGCAATTGGTTTGATAGTGTATGTTAAAAATATAGTCGCCGGAATGTGTGTTTGGTAGTGTTTGTCTCATATTTAAGAAAAAACCGATAAATAACCGAAAAAATCGAAAAACCGACATATACCAAATCGATGAAAAACCGACTTAATTGATTTGGTTCCAATATTTGAAAAATCTACATATTTGGTTTGGTTTCTTTTAGAAAAAAATCGATCCAAACCGAACCACGAACACTCCTAGTATGCGGTTAGGGAAACAAAACAAAGAGCAAGACCTCCAAAAAAAAAAAGTCCCACACACATGAATAATTTAAAAAATTTGGAAAATTATAGGGGATGTATATTTTCTATCTACCATTTTAATTGAATCTTTCTGTTATTGATAACTTTTAATGTTACATGACTTTAAAATAATTAGTAAATTGGCCTGCGCTTCGAGCGGTCATAAAAGAATTAATGCAAGCAAATATATAAAAAGATTAGTATGCTTATATGGATTTAGATATTATCTCTTTATAATGAGAAGAATACATTTATATAAATAAAATATATTTGAGTTGATTTTCGTAATTTTAATTTAGTTAGAACATATGCTTCTCTATAATTTGTAGTTCATCATATATTACTAATGAAATTTATTTAAGTTATATCGAGTTAAGACAGATTCAAGGAGTATTAACAATAAGAAAAGAGGTTAACACTGAAATTACATAAAATTTATCTTAAAACTACTAATAACGTACATAAAAATATTTAAATTATTATTAGTTGTATAATGATTACGAAGATGAAAAATTATATAGATGAAATACACTTCCTGATTAGCAACAAAAAAATCATTAGGGAGAGTACATCCTCTTGCCATTGCTTGCATCACAAATTTTAAAACTTGTGTATTGAAGTGTTGTTTTTGGAGGGTACATACCTTGTATATGAAATAAACAAAACAAATACCATTTTGTATTTTTTTTTTATGTCAGTCAATGAGTTTTGACACACACAAAAAAAGAAAAAAGTATAGTAATATCACACTCAATAGAAGAATAATAAAACATGTATGAAATATTAAAATAACAAATATCATTTAAATTAATGCATCTATATGCATTACATTCACAAAAATAAAATATGTTTATATTGTCTCATTCTCATATATTCCCACAAATATTGTAGATACTTCTCTAGCATAAACAAATCACATGTATAAATGAGTTTCAAAATAGGTGTGGTAGGAAAAGTAGGATAAATTTTGAATGAAACAACTGAAAAAGACATTAACTGAAGACAGAGAAAAGAGTGAATGACCTTTTCTTTAATCTTCTTACCCAATTGTTTCAACCCCCAATAGTTACATCACATTACCCCGTCTTCGTATATGATTGTTCACCCTGTCGTAACATGATCCAAAGCATATTTTAGATAAGTTAAAATTAATTACTCCTTCCGTCCCAAAAAGAATGTCAATATATTTTAGATTTCGGAATTCAAGCTTCTTAATTTTGACTTAGGGATACTGCATTTTTCAAGCGTATATTTGCTAATGTCACCAAAGCATACAGTATGATTTTCTAAAATTTGTTCAATTACAAATGTCATATTTCTACCTTCGTATAACGAAGAATGGTAATATCTATTTATTAATTAACAGGAATTTGACTCGCCCATGCATGAACTACTCATCAATAAATGACTTAAATTAAACTTCGAGTCTCTAAATAATTTAGAATTTTATATATATTTACCGTATAAAAATTTTCTTACACTATCAGCATACTTTTACATATTATAGAAGATTATTTTCCATTTTTTAACGATTACCCATTAATTTTCCTATAGAGCATCATATGTAGTTGCATTAAATTTAAGTACAAATTTCCTTACACTATAAGAATATTTTGACCTTCTATAAAAGATTGTTTTCCATTATTTTTCCTGCAAGCACTAATGGGGTCTTATAATACACGAAATTATAATTAAATAGTCAGATCCAATAGGGTTCTAATTTCGAATGATTAAATAAAAAAGAAGTGCATTTGAAAAAAGAAGAAGGAAACTAGGGAAAAATTAAAAGAAGTGGCAACTACTAGTATTTTACAATATATTTTGACCTATTATAGAAGATTGTTTTCCAATTTTTTTTAATATTACCAATTAATGTTTGTATATAACATCAATAAGAATTTGCTTATATATAGTATCAATAGATTTTGACCTATTAAATTATTTTCCAATTTTATAATGTTTTGGTCCGTGAATAGACACTATAAATATCCCCAATGCTCTAATAGTTTCGTACCCTCAAACCTAAGGTTTTTTCTTTCTATATATTTGCAGTTTTACTTTGAAAAATACAACTAAATGACAATGAGGAGTATTAATGGTGAACGAAGCCTTTTCATGGTTTATGTTGTTTTCTTGCTTGTTTCATTCTCTGGTATATATATCACCTCTCTTCTTTTCTTCTCCCATTTATTATTCTCTTCTCCTTTTATTTTTCTTGTTTATTTCGTATTATTTTCCAGAAAATATAAGTGAAGTTGGAAAATCTAAATGTTTGTGCATGTACTACTGTCAGACCTCTCTATAACAGCATCTTTATATAACAACCATTTACTATAAAAGCCATATTTTTTTCAGAATCGATTTTTATGTTATGTTATATATCTTCTATAACAACACTTCACTATAGCAGCCAAAAATATAGGAACAAATGAGGTTGTTATAGAGGTTTGATTGTATATATAATATATCCATATACTGTTAGACCTCCTCTATAACAGCCATCCTCTATAGCACTTTATTATAATAGCTAAGTTTTCTTTGGAACCATTTTTAATATTATGTTATCATATATGTTCTCTATAACAACACTTCACTATAACAGCCAAAAATGTCGGAACAAACGAGACTATTATAGAGACACTGTATATATACCCTAGCTTTTAGTAAGTCATTCTCTATAATAGCACTTCACTATATAAACTCTCATCTTTCCTTCTCCCTTTCATTGTTCTCTTCTCCTTTTTTTTATTCGCCAGAAAAGAAAACAAAAATCGGAAAATCTGAACGTATATGCATATATAGTTCTTCACTATAACAACCAAATTTTCTTTGGAATCAATTTTAATATTATGTTACTATAATATATATTTTCTATATCAACACGTCACTATAGCAGTCAAAAAATATCAATTGTTATAAAGAGGTTTGACTTTATATACTCTCTAGTAGGATCTCCTTTTGGTTAACTTTTAGTGATTTTTTTCCCTTAATTAAGGATTTACTCAACTACTCTTAACTATCTTGAATGTTCAATGTCTAATCAAAATCTTGAATCAAGTATTCTTATTAATATCTTTTGACTGTATTACATGCAGTGATGCAAGTTAATCATGCATTGAAACTAGCTGAGAAAGTTGGTGCTATTCAAGAAAATAACAGTAATGGCGGTGGTAGTGGTGATGAACGCTACAACTCACAGTACGAAGTAGAATTATGTCGAAAAGACAGCATACAAGTAACTCAAGGTCAGTCAGGAACACTGAATGGGATTCCAGTGTACTCAGTCACGATCATCAACACATGCAACTCTGGAAGTTGTCTTAATATTCACTTGAGTTGTGGCTGGTTCAGTTCAACAAGACTCATAAATCCAGCAATTTTTAGAAGACTTGGTTATAATGATTGTCTTGTAAATAATGGAAAGCCTTTAAAACCTGGACAATTACTTAATTTTCAATATTCCAATACTTTTAGTTATCCTCTTGCAGTTTCTTCTATTAGCTGCAACTAGATATGGTTTTAGTATTAGTATTAGTATGAGTATATATGCTCGAATTAATAGGATTATATTAGTTAGATATAGAAGCTTTATATAGTTCAAATTAGTGGATATTAGAAGTTTTATGCTATAGTTGTACTCGTCCTTTTTTTTTTTTTTTCATTTTATGGGTCTTAGTTTGATTTTATTAGATACAAAATTAATAAAGTAAAATAAAAATTTTGAATCTTGTGTTCTTGAACTAAACATGCATGATAATAATAATAATAATATCAAAATTACTCTTTATATCTTGTGTTCAAAAAAATTGACGGCTCAGATAATCTTTTACCATAATAATCCTTAACAGCTTGTTTGGATTGTTGTTACATGTCATTTGATAATGTATTATACTGTATTATAATGCATTGTATTGTATTGCTTGATGAACACAATGTTTAGATAAATTATATCGTTTGTCGTCGTTTCATGATGTCATGCACTAACATTATGAATAATAAAAGCTTGCAATACTACTAAGAAAAAATAAGATACGGAGTAGAATTATTATATAAAAAGTATGATAAATGATAAAATATAATTATTTAATAATAAGGAAGGGCAAGCTGAGAGAAAAAACAAGGAAATGTCGCTACCACACTAAAACCATCATTTCATAAAGAGACACTTTTTATCGTTACGTAACGATGGGTTTAACGATACGATACAATAAAATTTATGCAACAATCAAAACAAATATTTTATTTAAAGTAACAATACGATATAATACAATAGGTAGCAACCATCCAAACAAGCGGTTATATTATTTGTATATATACATTGATCAACTACACCTTAATGCCAATCAAATAGTTGAATAAATCACAATCCACTAATTGAATTTTCTTACATTATAAGCTCTATAATTTCAATCCTTTTTTTTTTTTCAAATTATAACAAAATTCTTTAACTGTAATAATAAGGAACTGATCCACCTTAACAGAACATAGAATCTTAGCCGTCAAAATCTTTAATCAAAACTCAATCACAACCGTTAATCAACCAACCGCCTAACAATTACAACAAATTCCGTCTATTCAAAGTTCAAACCCCGCCAAAAACCCCATTTGACTAAAAACGAACTTCACACAGTTCCTTTCCAAAGCTCTCTTCAATGGCGTCACCCGAATCCGCAAAAAAACTATTCGGACCCGACCCGTACCCAATGATAAACCTTCTATTGCATCTCCATTGCGACGACGATCATCTTTATCAACAAGCAAAAGCTCTGTTCAATTACACCAAAAACCATTACCCAACTGCTCTAATTCTCAAACTTTTCGAAATGATTCAACGTAACCCTTTATCGATCACAGGTATTCGCTGTTATAATCTTCTTCGCGATCTTCTTCCTTCGCTTTGGGTCCGTCTTCCTCCATTTACACGTAAAGACTTAAAAATTGGGTTAAACTATCGTTTATGGCTTGAAAAAGATTATGAAACGTTAAAAGCTTGTGTTTCTTGCGTAGCAAGTTTAGCCGGTTTGTTATTTCCTAAAAATGAATGGGATAACTTGTTTTACTTGATGTTTCAAAAATTGGGTTCGAGTGGTTTGTATAGAAGATTGGGTGCTTTGTTATTATGGAATGACTTGATTCCTATTTGTCCTGAGGTTTTTATGCCTTATATTGATTTTTTGATTGAGGGTTTTAAGGATCTTATGCCTACTGTAACGGAAGATCATCGGTGTGGTGTTGCTGCTGCTAAGGCATCTGTAAAATTGGTTTTGTATTTGGGAAATACCGCGAATTATAGCAAGTTTTATGATCTTATGGCGTATGTAATGATGACTTTGTTTATGGCATTAGGTGAGGAAGTTCTTGTGTGTAGTCTTCTTGAGGATTTGATAATTTTGGCCGGTGCGGAAACTGAGTTTTTTAAGGTTCAGATTGATGTTGTAATTGACTCAATGGTGAAAGTAGTTGGGAATTTGGAGTTAGAAGAGAAGACAAGACAACTTGGTATTGAGTTTGTTTTAACAGTTGCTGAGGATAAGGAAAATGGTTGTGGAATGATGCGGAAGATTAATAAGGATGTTGTTTCTAAGTTGCTTAGTCAGTTAATTGTGATGTTAGTACATATTGAAGATGATCCTAATTGGGGAAATGCAATTAGCGATGATGAAAATGCAGGGGAATTGAGTATGTGTAGTTATGCTATGGAAAGTTTGGATAGGTTAGCAATTGCATTGGGAGGAAATGTGATTTTGCCTAGTTGCCCTGAGTGTTTGTTCAACTTCTTGTATGATGAAAATTGGAGAATTCGTCATGCTGCTGTTACTGCAATTGGTCTGATTTCCGAGGGTTGCTCGAAGGTAATACTCTCTTCGTTCCATTTTATGTAGCGCTCTTTCCTTGTTATAGTGAGTATGTTCTGAAAAGAATGTTACATTTCTGTATTAAGAAACTCTTTAACTTTCAACTTTCCGTCTTACCCTTAGTAACATGTTCTTATTGCCGTCGAAATGTTATACTAGCATGTTTAGACTGCATGTTCTTAGGGTACTTTTGGTATGTGTCAGAAGTAAAACACTGTCAAATAAGATCTCCTTAACTTTGTTTTCATTTTACCCTTTAATTGTTCATATAGTCATAGGAATGTTGTAGCATGTTTAGATTACAAGGTCGAAGGGTACTCCGCTGGCAAATACATAAACAAGCCCTTAAATTTGACCTCAACTGGCAAGTATGCTCTCCAATTTTATGCTCTCCAATTTTAGGTGTGCATAAGTAGGTACCTCAACTTGTTTTCACTTTGTCAATTAGACACTCCAACTTTCAAAATGATCATCTAGACACCTCCATAACTTATGTGCCACGTCAGCATTTGTCTTTGTGTGTTCAACTTTACACAAGTTGAGGTGCCTACATATCCACACTCAAAGTTGGAGGGCATATTTGCCATCTGAGGCCAAGTTTGAGGGCCCGTTTATGTATTATGCCTTTTGGTATGTGTCAAAAAGTAAAACACCGTTAAATATGATAAGACAAAGGGAGTAGTTCAACTTTATTGTTTAGAAGTGAAAAATGGGCTTAATATTGTTTTTGTTTGTGATTTATGGTGTGGAAATTCCAGGCATTGTCGCAGGATATGGGGCAGCTTGTAGAGACTGTTGTAATGCTAATTCATGATACACACCCCCGAGTGCGCTGGGCAACAATTCATGCAATTGGTCAGCTATCAAAGTATCTGAACCCTCATTTTCAAGAGCAATATCATCAACAGATCCTCCCAGCTTTGCTAGAAGTTTTAGATGATTTTGACAATCCCAGGTTGCAGGTACTTCACATCTTCTTCTCTGTATCCTTTTTTAGCTACCACCTTTTAAGGTTGGCCTAATTTTACAGCTTTTAAGCACTTTGAACTCCTAACTTTTCACACTTGTCCATTGCAAATACATATCATTGCATACTAATACTATCTCATTTATATATAGACACGTGCAACTTCAGCAATACTGTTGTTCACTCGCAATTGCAGTTCAGATGTCTTGAAACCTTACCTGCAGAGAATAATGAGTAAATTAGTTGTGTTTCTACAGGTATGTCATTTATTCCAAATCTATGAGATATATAGTGTTTACATCTGTAAGAGTAATGACATAATGTTAGTGTTTGATGAGTGTGTGTTGCCACATTCATCTGGCAGCGGTATACATTTATGTAAGAGTAATAACATAATTTTTTAACAGTCATATCTCTTATATTGATTTGGACTAATAAGTTACTTGCTGAATTCCAGAGAGGAATGACGATGATGAAGGAAGCGGCTCTGGAAACTTTAGCTTCTTTAGCTATTTCATCACAGGTACTTTTGTTATCAAGGGTGTTACTGTTGTTTTCTTTCAATGTTCCGGTTTTCTAAACCTCATTTGCCTGGGATATTGTAGGAGGACTCTGCATACATATATGATTCAATAATGCCATATCTGAAAGTTATCTTGGTAACTGCTACTAAAGATACAAGTCGCATGCTCCTTACCAAATCCTTGGAATGTATTACCATGATGGCAATGGCTGTCGGGAATCTAGCAATCCTTGATTATGCTGAGAAGGTGAATACAGTTTATATCTTCTATTCTCTTGTAGCCGGCATTGTATAAATATTGACTGTGTTTCCTGGAACTGACAAATAAACCAATGCAGTGAACATTTAAGATTTAAAGTTAGAATCACATAGCGGTAAAGCAACAGTTAAACCATTAAAATCAGGGCAAACTCGAGCATGGACAGCACATCTTGTAGATACAGTTCTTATAGAGAAACCTGAAAAACAAATACATTTATACAGATTGAAACTATCAATATCAGTTAACTTCGGAAACTGCATTTACCAGCGATGTGTCATTTTAGGTCACTTCTGAGCTCATTTCACTGCAAGAAACTCACATGGAGGTAGAAGATCCAATGAGGAGCCTTTTGTTACAAGTATGTTGATACACTTAGAATTTTCTGCAACTTCTCTTTTCTATTTTTGGCTAATTTACACCATAAACATTATGGTTTTCATATACTTGATTCGGTTACAGGCATGGGGTAGACTATGCAAATGCTTGGGGACAGATTTCCTTCCTTATCTGAGTGTTGCCATGCCCGTCGTACTAAAATCTGCTCAGCTAAAGAATTATTTGAGTGTTTCCGACAATTCAGACACAGAGGATTCTGACGATGAAAGGTTGGATCTTCCTAAAACACTCGGACGAAATTTCACTTATAATGCATGGCAGATGTATTAGTACTATCTGTGCATGTAGATGGTTGTGCATTTCACTTAAGTTGCTTATTTTAGTGACTGAGACTATGGTCCCAACATTGTGTCACAAAGATAGTTTGAGAAATGTCGATTTCAGTAAGTAATAAAGAGAAACAAAGTCACTAAAATAAGCAACTTATTTGGCATAAATCTATTGAGGATGTCTTCAGCTGACATATAAATATCTTCTGTAGCATGATTAAAGTCACTTCTGGGAATAAAAAGATCGGGATAAGAAGCGCACTTCTGGAAGAAAAAGCCTTGGCCTGTCATATACTAAGCTGCTTTGCAGCTGAGTTAAAGGAAGGGCTGCATTTATGGGTTAATGAGGTATGTCTTCATATTTACAATTTACAAGGATTAAACTTGTGGTTTCTATCACATGAAGATGAAGATTTCTATCTAACTTGTGGTTTATACAGGTTGTTAGTGCTTTAGTTCCAAATCTTACCTTTAAATTCAGCGAAGAAGTAAGAATGGCCACCATTTCTAGTAAGTTTCTACATGTGTCTTTCTAATCATTCCTTTCAGGCATTCTGAATTTCATCTGATGTTTTGCTGAATTGCATTTATTCCTTTTGTAGCAATGCCATTACTGTTGCATTCAGCTGCTTTTGCTGTGAGGAAAGGCCTTCCTGTAACAGGTTGCGGCAAGCCCCCAGTTCAAAAGCTATCTGACACCATAATCCCGGCTTTGCTTGATGCGTTACAGAAGGTAATTAGCCTAGATTTGCAGCAGAAGTTTAATCAAATATCATATTGATACGATCAGTTAGTGTTTCTTTCCCTTTAGGAGTCAAAGGTACAAATTCAAGCAAGACTATTGGACGCATTCAACGAAAGCATTCAGGTCAACATACTATTTTCTCTTCTGTATACTATTCTTCGCATGTTTTGCCCTTGAGCTTTATTTGACTGTGCACTAAAAGGTACTTACTCAACAGATTCCAGGTTCACATTTAAGTAAACACCAAGCTGCAAAATTTGTTGATCGCATATCAGAGGTTCTCTCAACTTGCTCATACCGCAAAACAGAAAGAGAGAAAAGAGTAAGAGAGCACAACGATTCAAGGGAGCAGGAACTGCTTAAGGAGGAAACTGAGCAACACTTAGCTATATGTAGAAATGTTAGTGTTTTATCTCAACACAACCTCTAATATATATATATAACAGGATCTTAGACTTACCTTCGTTAGTTTCTCTGTTTCCTGAACTCAGATCGGTATTTGCCTGGGAACTATGGTGAAAAACCTCAAGGCATCATTCTTGCCCCTTTTTGACAAGTTTTTGCCTCATGTATCACTTATGTGGGTAAGTTTCTCTCTCTATCATGTACTATACAAGTAATCCAATTCGTGACACGTCCTACTGAAGCATCAAGAGTGACTAAACTGATAATAAACTGCCATTTAAATCAGTCTATTGAGAAATTGTATGGTGACACTTTTATGGTTTCCTTGACAATACACATTTCCTTTTCACTATACTCTATTGTGGAAGGGGAGCCTTGGAGCAACGGTAAAGTTGTCTCCGTGTGACTTATAGGTCATGGGTTCGAGCCGTGGAAGCAGCCTTTAATGCTTGCATTAGGATAGGCTGTCTACATCACACTCCTTGGTGTGCGGCCCTTCCCCAGATCCTGCGTGAACGCGGGATGCCTTGTGCACGGGGCTGCCCCCTTTATACTCCTCTGTGAGTTTCCCTTTACTTTTCTACATACTTCTGTACAGAGTAATGATAGAACAGCAGAAGAAAGAAGAGTTGTAGTGCACCTTTTCCGTGATGTCGCTGAGCAGTGCCGAGAAGATGCATTCAGGCAAGTCTTGTCTTTTGTGCTTTCAGTGGCTTATTAGTCAAGGATAAGCACAATTGGCTTTAGCTGAACTTCATTTTTTGATTATTTAAAAGCAGGTACTATGAGGATTGGATACCTCTCCTGCTGAGAGTTTACGATCATAACAATCCAGATGTTCAGCAGGTTTTATTCCCCTACTTTTACAGTTGTTTCCCTAGAAAATCAGTCTTATATATTTCAAATCTGACATTATATTTTTCAGCTAGTAGCAACTGCAGTTGGTATTTGTGCTGAATTCGGAGGCGATATCCTCAAGCCTCATACTATAGGTAATTTGTGCACTATAATATGCTTAAGATATTTATTTTCTCCACTAGCAGGACTGACTTAGCTTTCTAATGTTGTTTCAGTAATATTCAATCATTTAAAATCTGTAATGGAGCATCCTGATGCAAAACGTCCGGATAACATCATGGCTTATGAGGCTGCTGTTTCTACCTGTGGGAAGTTAAGCCAGTTTGTCTGGGAAGGCATTTACACCTATAAGGTTTCTCTCTTTCTACTCCTTCCCTATATCATTATTATAAATAACACACATTCAGTTTGCACTAAAAGAAAACTTCATACACTAGAACACACAAACACACAACACAAATTTACGACTTCTCTTGATAAATTTGTGGTTTATTGGCTGACATATTATAAACTTTCTTGACTTTCTTGATTTACAAAACTATTTTACGTGGCAGTTTATCTTGCTTTGGCTTAGCCACTTACCAATAAGGTGTAATTTGGAAGAGGCTAAAATCAATCACGAACTGCTTTGTTCGATGATGGAAACGTAAGTTTTTTCAGTTGAGCAATGATCAATAAATGATTATAAACCTTCAACATTTCTTATGCATTGCTAGCTTTGTGCCTTGTTCTTTCAGGTCAGAGATGAAAATTATTGGCCCTCAAGGATCTTATATACCGAAAATAATAGCAATTTTTGCTGAGGTAGTATTTCCTTTTCCTGTACCCTTTATCCTAAAAGTTTGCCACATCATTAGTTAACTATACCTGGTCACTAAGGTATCCTCCATTTCATATATTGTCTTTATTCTTTTTCTCTTTAGGTTTTATGGGCAGGGAACAATTTAGCAACAGAAGAAACTATCAGGCGAATGATCAATCTATTGAAGAAGTTCCAAAGGGAACATCAGCCTTCTGTCATGTCCAACATATATGCAACATTACCTTTACCACATCAAAGCATGTTGCGCACTGTCTTGTCAACCATATAATTTGTTTGTGTATTCATTGAGTAGATACATGTATAGAACACAGAAGGTAGCTAACAGAAAAAGTAGCAGACTCAAACTTGTATCGACAGAGAAAGATCCCCACCCCAAATCTTCCTCCTAGTACTGTAAAGAGTGCAGTTGTATACAACGGATGAAGCATGAGATTTTTGTGTTTGAAAGGAATTTACCAGATTTTATGAAAATAAGATCTAAACATAGATGGAATGTTAGTACAAGTCTTTCTGCTCTATCTTGTGCTATATTTGAGGTGATTCTCTGTCATGTATTAACTTCGAATTGCAATTTAGTTTGACCTCCTTTATTTAATCATTCATGGTAAGAAGTCAAGTTGAACCTATAATTTTAGGTTTCCATTCTTAGTTACACTACCAATTTTGGCAAAAGCTAGAAAAATTCTAAAGTGAAAAGGAACAAAAGATGTGATCTGTGAAGTGCATAAGAGGTGGATTTCTGTGGATTTGGGGACTTTAGACATTGCTATTTGTTATCATGTCAAATATGAAACACACACACTAGATTTTCTTCTCTATGAGACAACGAAATGGAAAAAGTTGTCCCGTCGGAGACTTAGGATAAAATTGGAACGAAAGAAAAAGCAAAAGTTAAGACAGAAATGTGAAATTGCAAAAATCTAACTTCAATGAGCTTATTGTCCTTTAAGTTACCTGTTGCAATTCCCCCTCAAGGTCATGTGGCACTGAGGTCTCGTCCACCGTTGTAGCTTGTGTGTACTTGTTTGAAGTGTACTAATGGTGAGAGACATATGATGACAGTTCTGATGAAAAGAGAGCTTCTGGCGTTTCAGAAGAACAAGAAACTTCCAGTTTCTGCTTCAATTCCTTTCGTTTCCGCATAAGGCATTCATCTCCCAATTCTCAATTCATTGTGAAGTACATCGAAAAATCACTCTTATATGACATATAAACCATCTAAAGAATGGAAATTCAGTTGCTGAACTGCATCAAATACGGCGGAAACACTCCCAAAATTCTATTCAATACTGTGGCTATTGTTTCCTCGGATTTGGTTTTTAGGAAAAATCAAGAGAACTAATTTCCAGTCATCGACAGTGAGATCCCAGTTACACACACTTCCAAAACATTACCTTTTGGTCTATAATATTGGAGTAACCATAATTTGTTCACATAATACAGCTAAATCACATGAAGCCAACCAAAATAAAGCAGGCATTTAGGCATAACAGACACGAACATTAGTAAGGGAACGTTCAGAAGGGAACAATCAAATGCCATAAGATGGAAATAGCCATCAGATAATCATTATATTGAAATAACAAGAACTAGTTGTACTAGTACTAGAACCCAAAATTTACGAAGGCACTGACTTGTACGACAAAATAAGACGAGCTTCAGGGACAAACTTCAACTTCCGCTTCCAATTCACGAGTCTGCAGTTCACTCCCTTATGCAATCTTCTTCAACATCAATATCACTAAGATCAAGATCAGCAAGTAACTCCTCCAAAGGAATAGAAGGAACATCTTCTCCATCAGCAATAGATGTGACTTCCGATCGTTGATATTCCTTATTACGATACAATGATATGTTGAACCTCAGATCAGGATTCTCCTCTAAATCTCTCAAGAATTGTTCATATTCTGAGTTCAACTTTTGTTCCTGATCTCTACCCTTGCCAGAGTTATCGACTTCCATATTAAGCGACTTAAGCTTCCAAGATCGATGCTTCCCACGTTTCTTTTGGCGCTTCTCTTCATAGCTTTTCTTAATTAATATCACCTCAGGAAGGACAAGACCTTTGTATTTGTCTAACTCAATATCATTATTATTTGCTCTATATAAATCATAACCGAGGGCATAGTCTCCGGGATTTAGAAGATGGCCTAGATGTGTTCTTACGGAGAACATAGTATCATTTTTCCCGAAATCAGATACACGAGCCACTTGAATATCAGCTAAAACATACTTCGAGCCCCCGATATTAACTTCTTCAGAAACCACATCAACATCTAAAACTACATACTCGACGAGCTGTCTACTAGACAACAAAGGCTTAAACGACGCCCTCCAGTACTGATCAGCATCCAAGAAACAATGCCTCAAAGTAAATGGATCTAGTAAAGCGATACTGTTGCTCACTTTGGTGCAGATCACAAGAGGACCGACATTTCCTAAACTAGCGGCCACTTTTGGAGGGAGACATATCAAATCCTCACGACAAATCGGGCAGATTTCTACGGAGAATGTGTACTTATAATTGAAGTTATTGCTCTTGTGATCATGAGATACAAGTTGCTTGTCATTTCGGCTCCGAACAGGTACCACCCGACTCACAAAGTCCACAAACTTCAAAGCATGACTTCTATGTGCAAAGAAGAAATCAATTCCCTGAACCAACTGTTGAATTTTTATGGCACGATTTGCAGCCTCGTGCTTAAGAATGAGCTGCTCCAAATAGAAGAAAGTTCTTCGATGAGAGACGTGCTGTCTAAGCTGCACAGCCGCCACCCATTGATCAGGGTTAGCTTGCACCTTTGAACAAGATTCACACATTTGGTCTTGAACAACATACTCAACGGTGTATGTTTGTTCAAGAACAGCTCCGTTTAGTACCTCTTTTTGGACTCTAAGCCTAACATTAATCCTTTTGGAATGAGGTTCAGTCCAAATAAACTCAGCATTCATCAACTTAACTTTATTTAAATTCTTCAACCTCTTGATACAAAAGGTGAGTAACTCCTTCGATTCGAGCTGTGCTTTGATCCAACTCCTTGGAGGCTGCAAATAGCTATCGCATTCGGGACAATGGATAATCACAACATGTTTTTGTAAGCCTTCTGTTATATCAACTTCAGATCGCAAGCATTTAGCACACATATTGGCAGCATTTGGTTGCATCAAAATTCCGCATTTGCAACATAATACACTGCCTATTGTTTGTTGCACTGTAAACATTCCTGATACTTCTGCCATACCTGTAAAAAAAAAAGGATTGTTACACAAATAGCCTGCCAGATTCAATGTTTACCTTTTCTAGCCAGTATATATAAATTATACATTGATTATACACAGTTATATGTATATTATACATGAATTATATATATGGTATACATCCGCGCTATTATTAGTTTAAGAGATTAGGTGGGCAGCTATTTGGGTCAATTTTTCTTTAAAAAAGGAATAAAAATAGATTTGCACACATAAAAAAAAATCAACAAACTAGACATAGATTTCCATGGCAGATAACAAGCAGTAAGTTACATATATTTTAATTTTCAATTATCCTTTGGTTGTATTAAACGAGAAATAAACTGAAACTGAATAAATTCTCCAAAATAACAAGTACTCCCTCTGTCTGAACAGTTTTTCAACTATCAGTTACAATTCATACAACCTTTTACTATATCATTTCTAAATATATAATTTTATTTTTAACAAAAATTAAGAGATTGTTGTCCAATTTACGTTAAAAAATTAAATAATTTTATTCCTATTCAGCACTCCTCTAATTCTCTATTTTTTTGGGAATAACATCAAAAAAAAAAAAAAATCGCATCCCAACTACTTCTCATAATCCTTACAAATTTGAGATATATATTAAAACCTTATTAAAAAAAAAAATACCCTTTTCTTCCTGGTACCAAATGATAAGAATTGGAAGATCACAAACAAATAAAGACATGAAATTGATTTGGGAAAAAAAAAAGAAAAAAAAATAGAAATAAAGTTTTCCAATTTGAGAAACTGAATTGTGAGATTTATATACCTGAAATTGGAGAAGAGAGAAAACTGAACGATACAAAATTGAAGTTGGTAATAATAAGGAAGAAATATGTGGAGTTAATATTTTTTTCTGGCGTTTGTTGTTAGTTTGGACCTTAAAAATAAACGAATTTAACCGACTTTAGGAAGAGTGCGGCGTCACTGCTGACTACTTGGTCTTCCTTTGCTATTGAATCATCAGTAGAAATTTAAAAATAGGCAGATTTACACGTGGTGATTCAAAAATAGATATAGTTTCAAAAGTAATCGAAATTTAGTTATTTTTTATGTAAAGATAAATTTGAACGAAAACACTGTTCAAAATTCGGAAAAATACTCCAGCATAATATACTAGAGTTCCAGTATAATATACCGGTCCAGCATAATATACTAGAGAATGAAGCACCGATGCTATAATTTCCAGTATATTATACTGGAGCCAGCAGTATACTGATCCAGCATAATATGCTGGAAGTTCATACATAGGTGCACCGAACTCCAGTATATTAGGCTGGACCGGTCCCTGTTGCAACAAAATAGTGGTTATTTTTCAATGACTTGGCAAACGCTGGTTATTTTTGAATGACCAGTTCGAAAACTGGCTAGCTCGTGCTATTTTGACTTCAATTATACATGTCAAATAAAGAAGTACATTTACAATTCAATTATACATGTCAGATAAAGAATGGGAGAAATTAAAAAATAGCCACAATTTCAAAAGTTATCGAAATTTAGCCACTTTTCATGTAAAGATAAATTTGAACGAAACGTTGTTTAAAATCCGAAAAATATTCCAACATAATATATTAGAGTTCCAGTATAAATATACTGGAGTTCCATATAATATATCGGTCTAACATAATATGCTGGAAGTTCATACACAAGTGCACCGACCTCCAGTATATTATGTTGGAACTTTCCGTGTTGCAGCAAAATAGTGGCTATTTTTTTAATGACTTTGCAAATGCTGGCTATTTTTAAATGACCAATCCGAAAACTGCTAGCCCGTGCTATTTTATTAGTACATTTACATTACTGTTTAGCTCAACTACATAAAATATGACCTTAAAAGTAATAAAATTGCAATTATAACTTATTTGGCCCGACCTATAGGTCCACTGACGTAAAGTGAGGAGTCGAGCCTGAACTGTCGAATCGAAGTTATTTTCAAGACCATACTTTCTACAACTAACATGTGTCCAGTCCAGCAGGAACGCGAACTCGAACCCAAGTGGTATGGTTATAATCCGCAACAACAACAACAACAACAACAACGTAAAAATTGCACGGGGCGCCCTATTTGGTCGCCCCCATTTAACCTATACCCATTTTTTAAAAAACTTTTAACTTGTACTCACCTTTTAAATAACTTCAGCCCTCTTTCTTCTCCTCCCCCTCCTCCTCCTCCTCCTTCTTCTTCTCCTTCTTCTTTTTCTGTTGGTGCTACTATGGAACTTCAGTTATTAAAATTTTGTGTAGACATATCTGGTTCAATGATATGACGAAAATTTTCTTACACTACTGTATTCCAGTCAAGAAATACGAATGGATCTGCAAGTGGTCATTGTTTGGCACCATGTCCTTTTTCACCCTTAACTTCAGGCTAAAGTGAAAGCAATTCATCACAAATTTAGCATCTTGCCCATGAAAAGGAAACACCAAGTTACTTGTATAGTTGTATGCAATAAGAAATAAAATGTCCATTGCTTATATAGTCCTGAAGTTTTACAAATGAACTAAGTTCGACAGTTACAAAACAAAAACTTTTGCCAATTACAAAAACAAAAATTTCAGTTCTAGAGCTGAAATTCGCCAATTAGAAAACAAAAATCCGAAAATACTGTTCAAAAGTAGCCACTTTTTATGTAAAGATAAATTTGAACGAAAACACTATTCAAAATCCGAAAAATACTCCAGCATATTATACTGGAGTTCCAGTATAATATACCGGTCCAGCATAATATGCTTGAAGTTCATCACAGGTGCACCGATCTCCAGTATATTATGCTGGAACTTTTTGTGTTGCAGCAAAATAGTGACTATTTTTCAATGACTTTAGCTCAACTACATAAAATATGACCCTAAAAGTAATAAAATTGCAATTATAACATATTTGGCCCGACCTATAGGTCCACTGACGTAAAGTGAGGAATCGAGCCTGAACTGTCGAATCGAAGTCATTTTCAGAACCATACTTCCTACAACTAACATGTGTCCATTCCAGTAGGAACGCGAACTCGAACCCAAGTGGTATGGCCATAATGCGAAAGAACAACAACAATAACAACACCAACACCAACAAAAAACCTAGTAATTTCACAAGTGAGGTATTGGGAGAGTAGTGTATATACTTACTTTACCCCTGCTTTAGGGATATAGAGGCAGTTTACGGTAGACTCTCGGCTCAGAAACAGAAAAGGGGCCATGATTTGAAAGAGAACCATGAAAATAAAATTGAACAATGCTAATGTCTACATAATGAGGAAATTTGAGGGCTCAATTGGAAACTATTCTAAATATGCTTAGAATTTAACCATGAGTGCACCAACTTAAGCTTAAATTTGCAAGAAGGTAACAAATATCTTGTGTGTGTGTATTCATTTGCGATGTATGGAACCACAGGGCCGGGTATGCAAATGGATTTGGAAAAATGATATTGTATAATTGCTCTAAAAATAATAGCCGAAAAAATATATATATTTTTTTTGTGTATATATATATATATATTATATGTTATACACAAAAATTATAGAAATTTTATACATTTTTTTGGCTACGGAATATAAATAATTTCTGACGCGGGCTAAAAATGAAAAAAGCCCAATGAATTTAGTAAAGTGGGCTTATATGAAGTCCACTTTTGATGGGCTTTTTTGGGCCTTCAGGTAAAGTTAGGAGCCCAAACTCATATCTTGCTTGACCAATGTGTGCGAGAAAGCCCAAATATACTAAACCATTGCTCACTTTGGAAAAAATTTAACACAAATTCCATGATCACAAGTCACAACTATAAATAAAAGGATGCTTGCAATTTTAGAAAGAAAAAAAAATTATAACTTGATTTAGGGATACGGTGTGTGTCTTTTCCCATTTCAAGCAAGAATTAAAGAAACTATAATTTTCCTAGAAAAGACCAGAGACAAGTTTATATTTGCGAGGAGTTTATCCTACTACAATTTCAAGTTAATAACGTGGATTAGGAAAGATACAAATAAGAATCACATAAAATGATCCACAAAAATAGCCAAATTTATAAGTGCCAATTGAAAAATAGTCACAGTTTCAAAAGTAATCGAAATTTAGCCACTTTTTATGTAAAGATAAATCTGAACAAAAATATTGTTCAAAATCCGAAAAATATTCCAGCATAATATACTGGAGTTCGAATATTTTACATGTGAACTTCTATCATAATATACTGGAATTCCAGCATAATATACTGGAGTTCCAGCATAATATGCTGGAAGTTCATACACAGCTGTTCCAATCTCTAGTATATTATGCTGAAACTTTTCGTGTGCTGAAGTTCCAGTATATTATGCTGGAAGTTCATACACAGGTGCATCAATCTCCGTATATTATACTGGAACTTTTTGTATTGCAGCAAAATAGTGGCTATTTTTTAATGACTTTACAAATGTTGGTTATTTTTCAATTACCCGTCTAAAACTGGCTAGGTTGTGCTATTTTCACATTAAAATTCAACATTAAATTGTGGAAATTTGAATCCAAATGGGTCAAAAATGGACGGTACATAAATGGGTCAAAGCCCATTTCTTTCTGAATGGTCAAATCCTCTATTGTCTGCTTCCTAGGACCAACAGAAAAGGCCAACTTATTGTTTACACTATGATGTGACAAGACCCATTTAGTCAAACAGGATTTTAACAAAAAGAATTAACTTTTAATTAAACTAAAAATAGCCTGTGAATATATAATATAATTTATATATACTATGTATATAATCGATGTATAATTTATGTATATAAGTTAAGAAAAGTAAACAGTAAAACCGGCCAGCTATTTGTTTAAAAATTCCTTTGAACAAAGTACTAAACCAAGCATTGAAAGTTATTGCAAGCATTTTGAACTCTAGTCATTTCAAATGGGCTTAAATATCAAGAAAAGGAACATTACCAAGTTGAAATGAATCAAAAATTATAAATAAATAAATAAATAAAAAGAACTAAAATAATGCATGAATCATTTTTTCATATTCAATTTGAGACTGAAGCATAGTTGTTGGAAAACTAGCATGAGACAGATCAAGTTTTCACTACATCGACAACCTGACATTGGCAATATGCCAATATGATTTTAATGTGGTGCGGGGCTTTGCATCTGACACTTGTTGGGCTTCTTTCTTGGTGAGCCTGCGCCCCGGTATTTTTTGTGTAATAAACCCCTCCGACCGAAGACTAGTGATAGGTGGTCTTGCAGAGATAACAATGAGATTTCGAGTGACTTGTTGCAATTTCAAGAAAATTCCCTTAACCGCTAACAGGCAAGTCGAGCTTACGAGTGAAGTGGAACCGATTCCCTTGAACGAAAAGAACGACCCTAATCTTGTGTTAGATTTTACATAGGCGAATTCAAAATTTAGAATCAGCACATACAGTTGAAAATAATGAGTTCAGTCGAAATCACAAGCTTCGTCCAAAATACAAAAAGTTGTATCTACATGTGTATGTGTTTTTTTTTGGGGG